CTCTCACACAATAAAAGTAATTGATTGAGGAACCTGAAGAGTGCACTGAGGAACCTGAAGAGTGCTACAGCTTTAAGTTATCAAAATAAATTATATATTAACATGAAATCTGCAACAATATTTAATAGGGACCAATGAAACCACAAAATGATAGTAATAGGCAGGCACTCCTGCAGTAAGGGGTTTCACAATGAAAGCAGGGCAATTTAGAATTCAGCCATGCAAATCCAATAATGCTTGTCACAGAAATGAAAGCATTACAATTATTGAATATACACAGATCAATAATTCCTTAATGTCCCATTTCAACTGTTCACCTTACAAAAAGTTGATTACAAAATAAAGCACTTCAAAAATCTTTTTGTATCAGAGTTCTTGTCTTGTAAAAATAAGGCTCTTTGGCTTACCACCTTCCTGGCTAGCTCTCTCAGTTTGGGAGGGAGAGGGGGGAGTGCATGTGTGTGCATGTTCACGTGTGTGTTCCCCCAGCAATCAGCATGCAATATCATCCACAGGGATTACCTGGAAAATGAAAATGCTAGGCAGGGCAACCATTTTTCACCACAGTCCACTGAAGAAATTGATTAATGACAATGCAAACCCAGGGCAAGCATGCAGTTGCAATCTTCTCCATTTGTCACAGTAAAATGAAAGATGACTGAGAAATAGTCAGATGTACACGCACACTACTCTAAAAGGTAGGAAAAAGAAAAGCTTCCAATAGACACCCCTTCTCTTCCTGACAGCCCATATAGCATCTATGAGGATGTAAAGCAAAGCTATGAGAGGGGTGAGATGTGGTCTGTAAAATGCCTCTCCCCATCCCTCCAGCATTGACAACTGTTGGATTCTGGCTTGTGATTTTCTTTGTAAGCCAGACTTGCACTACCCTAGTTGTAGTCTAGCTTTTAATGTTGTTTGAATGAAGTTTATATCTGTGCTTCTATTCCTTTTCATCATAGGCCAGTTACCTAGGGGAAAACATCTGCAAAAATGTGCGCGCTGGTAGGTAAGCCTGGTACAGGAGACTGACATTTGTCACTGAAGCTAGGGACAACATTACACATAACCCGGTTTTAGTGATCAGAAACTGGTTTAAACCTGTATCAGAACAGATGTTCAGTGCACATAAACCATTTGAGATAAATCTGGTTGAATGTAGTATCAGACTTAACTGATTTGGGTCAAACCGGTTTATGCAATGTCTGTCCCAGACCCCTTGCTAGTTTAAGTTAAACCAGACTCCCCTGGCATCCTGGCATGCTTTGTGGGCTGTGTGCGGCTCTCTACTTTAGAGCAGAGCTGGCCCCTCCCCTCTGCTCCCTGGCTGGAGCTCGGCAGAGACTGCAGGTGTCTGCCTGACTTGCACCCTTCCCGCCCCATTCCCTGCTAAGCAAGGATTCCTCTGTCCCCTCTGCCTTATACAGACACCTCTCAGCATTAGTTAGCAGAGCACATGCTGGCTAGAGTCTGTTATGTAGCAAATGGGATAAAGGTAGAATCAACAGGTAGCTAGTAATGTTCCTCCATTGTTTTCTTAATGGGATGATAAACACTGAGTTTTCAATTCTATGAGGGCCTGTTCAGAATTGGGGGGGGGCAACCCCTCCCTAATCAGAGCTTCCTGCCTGCCTGGCCATGCTCCACTCAGCATTGTAGAATGGAAGGGAGGGCTCCTCTAGCATCCCTCCCCCCCCAGCTTCTCAGCAATTGCAGGCATGTGCCAGCATTTTTTCAGTCCAGAGGTGATGTCTGTGTGGTTACAAACTGCCTCAGCCTAGGCAGGTTAGACTAACCTGAAAAGATTGAATCAGTGCAACCTAAGGCTTTTTGAATGTCTGTCCCTAGCAAAGTTTAACATACCATTTTAATGTGCCAACTATCAAACAGGCAACCATATCAAGGTATTCCATGTACAGAGTCATCCTCTTCATAATACAGATATCCATACTAGAAAATATTTACCTGTATTAAATTATACACTCTAACAGGTTGTAACTGGCAAGGAAGGACACTATACCCAGACAGGGGATTTAAGGCCTGTTGCATTAGGATTTATTTATATGTAGGACAGGGCATAAAACAGTAATTCTCAACCAGGATGCTGAAGCACCATGGAGTGCCTTAAAATCCTTTCCAGGGTACCATGGAGTGCCACATATAGACGTACAAACATAATTCACATGATAAACTCAGAAATTTCAAATAGGGCTGGCAGCGGGGCTGGGTTACAAGCTGGTGCTCAGCATGGGGAAAAGCAACTCCTCACTCACCCCATGGCCAGTGCTCCACACTGTAGTCACTTGCAGCCTGCATGGGGCTGCTTGTGCCTGCTCCAGACAGCTCCGCATGGACTGTGAGTACCTGCAGCAGAGTGCCAGTCACGGGGCGGGAAAGGGGTCACTTTTCCCCGTGCTGCCCCCCACTTGTATTGCAGGGCTGGGGGGCACTGGGTGTGAGTGCATGCGGGAGCCAGTGGGAACATGGGGCCCACACCGATGTCCCAAGGCCAGTGCCAGCGGGTCCCAGAGCAGGGTGGCAGGAGCGCAGGGTCCCGGCTGGCAGGGGGCCCCATGGGGCGGGCGCCCGCCCCTCCCCCCCCCCCGGTCCCTGCCCTCCCTGCTGGTGCAGCCCAGCCCAGCTCCACAGACCCCTGCCAGCCTGTGCCCCGCTTTGGGCCCCACCAGTGCTGGCCTTGGGACATTGGTCCCAAGATGGTGACCAGGGGCGGGGCTATCCATGAGGCCCTCGACAGCCTGCCAAAACTGGGTAAGCGGCCCTCCACCCAAAATAATTGCCCGCCCCTCATCTAGCTACTCTGTGGATAGGAAGCACACCCAGGTCCAGCACTACTACTCTGAAAATTTCACACTGTGGTTCGTCCCATACTAAAGGGAGATATTTTTACCCTTTTCCTGGCTAAATTTGGAAAAGGTTTATACCCATTTTCTCAGACACACTCCTCAATCAGCACTGCAATTGTAAGAAATCAAAATCAGAAACAAATTCTTTACCATAAAAAAACATGACTGGAGATATAATAGCTGGTTTTCCACACTTCTAACTGCTCAGCTATTTTAATTGTTCTTTGGTTGTTGTTTCCCCCAATTAGCAAAAGGATATCAAACTCCAAGTTTTATCCTTACTGTGGGACCTGATGGTGCTAAATTAATCTAAACTAAACAAGCAGGAAATAATATGTACATGATTTGTTCCTAAAATAACAGTACTGGAGTACTACATAACTAAAAAATTGGGAAAAGCCTTTACAACATTTAAATATTGGGTCCAAAGAGCATCTTCACTGACTATTATATTGTAAAAATAGTTCAACAGAAAGGGATCCACCAAAAAGATTACACATTTTAACCCATTAACGGTCCATTTTTACCTTAGAGTCCATGTATTCCTTTTCATTTTATTTTAAATAGAATTTTTAACATATTTTTGTATCTAAAATACATGTCCTAACTCCTCCTCCACCTGGGCATTGAGTAGAACAGATCTTTATGGCTAGGGACATACATTATACATAAACCAGTTTAAGTGATCAGAAACTGGTTTAAACCTGTAACAGTTCAATGCACATAAACCAGTTTGAAAATGGCTAAAACAGGTTTGAGATAAACCTGGTTGGATGTAGTATCAGAGTTAACTGATTTCAGTCAAACCAGCTTATGCAATGTCTGTCCCAGACTCCTTCCTGGTTTAAGTTAAACCAGAGTCCCACTGTTGGCTACGTTTAATCTATTTCATAGCTGGTTCCCATTAGTGAGCACTAGGACTCTGCAAAGCTTCAGACACTGATTTGATGTGGCGGAGATTCAGCCCAATTCGGTGGCCGAATCACCGAATCCAAATCAAATCATGAGAACCTTTAATCTTTTCAAATCAAATTGGAACCCTCTGAATATATTTGGAGAGATTCAGAGAGATTCAATAATTTGGACATAGACACAGCTTTGAATATTTTTTCGACATACGTCAAGGTACCAGGTGGCTCATGAACACTGAGATGGTGGGATGGATGGAGTGTCCCACGGGAGCATGGGGGGTTTCCAGTGCGCTTGGCAGCAGACCCTCCCCTCACCCCTGGCTCAGTGACTGGTGCTTCCTGGGTCTGTGGGGGTCGTCCTGGGTCCCCCTATGTCCGATCACCAAGCAGGGGTGCACCCAATTCAAGAGACAGCAATTCAATTTGTTGATTTGTATCACTGTCCCAATTCAATTCGGCCAAATCTGAATCCAAATCAAATACAGCCCATTTCACACACCCCTACTGAGCACACATTGCTTTTAGCAGCAGTTCAAAAATAGGTAATGTATTTAATGTGTTTTTTTATATATGAATGTAAAACAAGGGGATTTTCCCCCCATGCTGATGGGGGGGGTGACCTCGTCTTGCATTTGAGTAAATATGTGCATAATGAGTATTTATACATGTCTTCTGGGGGTGGGGGGGGCTTGTCGAATGAGCTTTAGTTAAAGCACCCCCACCACCATTTTTAAGTGTGTGGACACTGATACACAAGATGCTGGAGTCTTCTGCAGTGCAGTAATTATCATGCTCAATTAATTGAATCTGCTCTGACATGCTGTAATTACAGTGCATCAGAGCAGCCTTACTGCTCATGTGTAGGTGCCCAATGTAGTTTATTTAATTAATCTATTTCATAGTTGGTTTCTGTCAGCGGGTCCGAGTCGGATACCCCCTAACCCCGAGATTCTCGCCTGCCACGACTTTTGATCTTTAAACAAAATTGAGGAGGGAAATGTTACATGTGCAGGTACCCCTGGAAAGGACCACACTGGATCGATGTCTGATACTGGTGCTTTATTATTCTTAGTCTGGTCTTACTCTCTCTAGGAATGCCAGGCAAAGGGAGCAGTTCCTCAGAGACCCCTCGTGTATTCTGGTGGATCCTCATCTTGACTCAGACGGTAAGTACTACGCGTCGTCTCAGAGATCATCCCCTAATTGCCTCATTAGCAGCTGATTAACGCCGACACCGGGATTCCCCGGCCGTGTCTTGTGCTGGCGTGCAGAACGCGGGTCTTTCGCAGTCTCTTTTTCTTTTTCCTCCCTGCCCTCTCATCCTCCGGTGAGGGATCAGGGTCCTGTATCTTCAGGGCTGGATTGGGCAGTCCCCCGCCCCCTTTTCTCCCAGGCAAGCCCACCGCGTCTTGGCCCACAGCCGCAGCTTTTCACCGCGCTGCTGCTCCGTTCCCTGTGACTCACCGCAGAAGCTGACTTTTTCAGGTATGTAGTAATCCGAGGGGCAGATCGGTCCCATAACCTCATTGCTGTCTGTGAGGGTGAGCCCCTGCCTCTGGGACTTCCTCTGAATCTCTCACCGCAGGGCTCCTCACCCACTTCTCTCAATCTGTAAGTGCCCGAAGGCCCCTTCTGTTGGGTCTTCTCCCCTTCTTATCCCTCCTTCCTGAGCCTCACTGGCTCCAGAGGGAGTGTCGCACCTTTTCCCTGCTGGATGGTAATTATCCTCAGCTGCTGACCCCTCTTAGTAACAGAGTTGAAGCCATGACTCTGTTACAGTTTCCAAGAGAAGGCTGAGGTGGGGATCTAGTGGCCTGTTACAAACAAGTCAGAGGAGACCAGCAGGCATTAGGGGAGTCCCTGTTCCCCCGAGCACTACCAGGAGTGACTAGAAATAACGGTCACAAGCTGGCAGAGGGTAGATTCAGACTAGACTTCAGGAGGCGCTACTTCACTGTCAGGTTGACTAGGACCTGGAACCAACTTCCAAGCAAAGTGGTGCTGGCTCCTACCCTGGGGGTCTTTAAGAGGAGGTTAGATGAACACCTTGCTGGGGTCGTTTGACCCCAGCACTTTTTCCTGCCATGGCAGGGGGTTGGACTTCATGATCTGCTCAGGTCCCTTCTGACCCTACCAACTATGAAACTATAAAACACAATTCACAAGGTAAACCCAGGGATTTCAAACAGGAATCCACATCATCAAAAACATTTTGACTTGTTGTGGTCTTTTGAAGTTCTTTACAACAGAAAATTGCTCTATTATTTCTTTTTTTTGGTTAAAATATGAGTAAAAGCTAAGAGCTGGCATTTTCCAATGGGTGTCTATAAAGGTTGAGAGCTACTGCATGAAACTTTCTCTGAATCTAGGTGCTGAACTACAGAAAAGGATGTTAAGCAACATAAAAATATCTTCAAAAGCAGAGGGACTGATTCTATTACAGATACTTAAATCGCCTTTCTTTATAAAAAATTGTTCTTCAGGTGATTCCCAGTAAACAATATCTTTATATTTATAACCCAGTCCTTCAGAGAATATGCAGGTAGGTCAGTGGGATAATGTTAAGCACTCACCTTTTCAAACCTGGGTCTCTACAGTGTATCTGATTTCTCTCATGTGTATATCACCAACAGTTATAAAGGTCTAAAAGGGATGATTAGAAGCACAGAACTAAACTAATACTTTCAGTTATAAACCATAGCATTAATTTCCACCTTAGTTCTCATATTTTCTGTTCTATCTGTTAGCATAAAATATCTAACACCCTAGCCCATGAACCACTTCTTTTCTTCTTGTAGTGTCAAGGGATTCTGCATCTGTACAACATCTTGTCAAACGAGGTCTATAGACATTTGCAAATGACTGAA